TTCCTCCTTTCCTCTATCCTTTTTTCCTCCTTTTCTCCTCCTTTCCTCTCCTTTTTCCTCCTTTTATCCCTCTTTTTATCCTTCTTTTTATCCCTCCTTTTCTTGCTTCCATGTCCCCATTTTCCCAGGTGAATCCCAGGGCCATCCAGCCGGGGTGGTGGCCTTGGGGACAATGACACCTTTCCCAGGCTCTCTGCCACCTCCCTGTCCCTTCCCAGGCTGTGAACATCGTTCCCCTGACCCCGATGGCCCTGGTGCCCCCGGAAGAAGGGGAGAAGAAGGACAACCCCCTCCTGAGGTGCCACTCCTGGGATTGTCCCCTGTCCCCTCCCCTGGGTGGGACTGTCCCATGTCCCCTCCCCTGCTCCAGTCCCTGTGTGGCATTGTCCCATGTCCCCTCTCCTGGGTGATTGTCCCATGTCCCCTCCCCTGCTGGGATTGTCCTGTGTCCCCTCCCCTGGGTGGCATTGTCCCATGTCCCCTCCCCGCTGGGATTGTCCTGTGTCCCCTCCCCTGGGTGGCATTGTCCTGTGTCCCCTCCCCTGGGTGGCATTGTCCTGTGTCCCCTCCCCATGGGATTGTCCTGTGTCCTCTGCCCTGGGTGTCATTGTCCCATGTCCCCTCCCCATTGGATTGTCCCCTGTCCCCTCCCCGCTGGGATTGTCCCATGTCCCCTCCCCTGGGTGGCATTGTCCCATGTCCCCTTCCCTGGTGGGATTGTCCCGTGTCCCCTTCCCTGCTCCAGTTCCTGTGTGGCATTGTCCCATGTCCCCTCCCCATGGGATTGTCCCGTGTCCCCTCCCCTGGGTGGCATTGTCCCATGTCCCCTCCCCATGGGATTGTCCTGTGTCCCCTCCCCTGGGTGGCATTGTCCCATGTCCCCTCCCCATTGGATTGTCCCCTGTCCCCTCCCCTGCTGGGATTGTCCTGTGTCCCCTCCCCATGGGATTGTCCCGTGTCCCCTCCCCTGGGTGGCATTGTCCCGGGTCCCCTCCCCATGGGATTGTCCTGTGTCCTCTGCCCTGGGTGGCATTGTCCCATGTCCCCTCCCCATGGGATTGTCCTGTGTCCTCTGCCCGGGGTGGCATTGTCCCATGTCCCCTCCCCATGGGATTGTCCTGTGTCCTCTGCCCTGGGTGATTGTCCCATGTCCCCTCCCCATGGGATTGTCCTGTGTCCCCTCCCCTGGGTGGCATTGTCCCATGTCCCCTCCCCATGGGATTGTCCTGTGTCCTCTGCCCGGGGTGGCATTGTCCCCTGTCCCCTCCCCATGGGATTGTCCTGTGTCCCCTCCCCTGGGTGGCATTGTCCTGTGTCCCCTCCCCATGGGATTGTCCTGTGTCCTCTGCCTGGGGTGGCATTGTCCCATGTCCCCTCCCCATGGGATTGTCCTGTGTCCTCTGCCCTGGGTGTCATTGTCCCATGTCCCCTCCCCATGGGATTGTCCCATGTCCCCTCCCCATGAGATTGTCCCATGTCTCCTCCCCTGGGTGGCATTGTCCCGGGTCCCCTCCCCATGGGATTGTCCCGTGTCCCCTCCCCTGGGTGGCATTGTCCCATGTCCCCTCCCCATGGGATTGTCC